TACATTTTTGTACTTAAAACTATAAAAACAATAACAGGCAAGAGATACAAACAGCCTAGTATTCAAGAGTTCACCTTTTTTTTACACCGACTCACAAGCAGTAATAAACAATTTTTCTATGTACAGTATTTCGCTAACTTCACAATTTTTTTCTTTAATTAATTACATAACATTTTTGGCACAGTATTCTATTCAACATTTTAATACTGCATAATGAAACATCAACGTGTGTATACATACTTTCGAATTCTTTGCTATTGATCAAATTAAGCAACAATGAGAACTAATAATATATTATTCAATGACCGCACAATGATGGCTATTACTCACGAAAATTTAAATTGCAGGCAACCATCTGAGAGGGTAATAGCTATAAATCCGCGAGAAGAATACTATACTTTATCTACAACTATCCAAATATCAAAGCAACTATGTGAGATTACTGAATTCACGAAAGCAATTACTGTAATTGAATGTTGAAAATCGAGTAAGCAATTGATGATTAAATCGATAGTTGTAGATAAAAGCATATAAACGAATGAAATGAATTGTTTAAATACACACAAATAAATCAAACTGTTATAATTGATGAAGGGGAAGGATACGTTAATTTTGAATCGAAATATCTAATTTATGTACAACTCTAAACTAATATTTTATCACAAATGCAATTGCTACAGATTGGAATTATTTTAATCACAATGAAATCAAAGCAGCAAACTAAATTAACTTCAATAACAAATAAATGCGCCATTTTACATGCAGCTTGCTGTCTACCATAAGAAATTGAATTTCCGTCTTTTTGAAAGAAATATATATTTATTCACATATTCTAGTAGAATATAGGAAATCTTCACTAATCAGAGGACGAAAAATAATATAATCCATCCAAGTACTGCCACAATGAAACTCTCAACACATTTCCAATTGGTCATAAAACCATGAATAATCATTGTCTATATTTTTTTTGCCGTGGTAGATTTCTTGTACCAATAGAAGACCTAGTACAAATTCGTTCGACTCGTAGATACATCCCGAATATCAGAAAATGTTTTCAATTCCATTTCAACACTATCATAAAATTCCACAATTCCAAAAAATTATGCTTTTTCCACTGGTATTTCACCAGCTATTCAAGGAACAATTTCATGCGAAACTTTCAAATCTGTTCTAGTAAATCGGTACTGAAGTAATAGAAGAAAATCAATGGCATGAAATAATTGTCCTCATTTTTTGTTATAACATTTCAACTCATAAAACCGTCATAAAAACAGACCAACTTAAATTATTGAAAATCATAAATGCTGAACTTTTTATCTAGTCATCTAAAATCTGAAAAGAAATTGTTAGAACGTCAAAAAGTTGAAATATAAAAAATGGGATGAACTTATAAAACAGGCGCAGGAAGCTCAATATAACTTTAGCGTCCTTCGTTGTGTGATAAAAGTAAATTTGGTAGGGAACAACGTTCAATTATTATTGAAGTTTATTTCCAATTGAAAGTAATTGAGAGCTCATCACGCAGCAGCTTTAGAATGCACAAGTATTGCACATCGAACAATAATAAATCAGTCTATATTCCCGCGTCTCTGGTGTTATATTCCGGCACATAGGACCAAATTTAGAGTTGCGATTTTAGTCAATTTTGCCTTCTAGGGTACTTTATAATAGGTATTTTTTCATGAAGAAAGAGGATCACAGGTCAAGAAATTTTACTTAGTTAATTGAGGAAAACTATATGAAAGTAATACCTATTACTGTTCATTGTATCAATCAGTAAACGTGAAACAAGCGTTTAGTGATATTGCATGAATCCACCTTTTAGTTTCGAATCATTTCTATTGAACTACGTATTTTCAATAGAAATGATCTCGTTGGGGACAAGCTACTGAAAAATATCTATCGAATTGCTTAAAACGTCGCACGAAATATAGACAAACTCTGATTACTTGAGAAATCGAAAAAAGTTTGCATTCTTTTTAAGAAGTCATATATTATGAGTTTACGTGAAAACTTGGTCATTGCACCTGCAATTGTATCGGAAACTTTTTCAAATTTTGACATGTAATTTGATACTTTTCAAAACTTACGTTAGTCTCACGTGACCAGTTGCGTGATAGATATCTAAGTATAACCAGTTAATAATCGCGTCATTTTGTGTGACGATGGAAGAGTTACACAATAGTATATTATTATACAAGTTTTATAAGACACTATTTTGTCCCACGCGTTGTTTGGAGTGCGACGAACGGAGCGAAGTGTGCTCTAAAAAAAAAAAGTGCGACAATATGTCTTATAAAACGTGTTGAATATACTATTTTTTCTATTTTGCATTCATTTGTACTCTTTTATTCAAAAACTTTAATCGATAAAACATCAAATATTAGAAAGATATGAAGTAAGTATAGTTGGTAAAAATGAAAAAACATTTGCATTTTCATTCTCAAATTTGATAGATGGTAAACATTATTCGAATTAACATCATCATTCCAGCGATATAATTTGAAATTGTTGGTCTATCGAGATTCTGAATTTCTTGTTTTGAGAATGACTGAAGTGGCAAACTCAAGTTGCACCCCTCCTGAACTGAGGGAATTTGCCCAAACGGCGATAAATGATTTGTTGCCCAAGAAACCTCGTCCAGCTTATGAAAAAGAAATCCAAAATTTCCAAGTATGATGTTAAACTGGAGACCAATACCACCACAATATATAAGAATCATTGCCTTATATCTCAAATTTGCAAATCCTGAGATTCTTACAGGACATTGTTTTCGGCTTTCTAGTGTGTCATATTTAGCAAATAGAGCCGGTGAAATCCTCAGCAATAGCTGAAGCTAACATATTTCATAACCATCTGTGAAGTGTGAAGAGAAAAATTGAGTGAGGTAGCTCAAATGTTTTCTTCTCACCCATCAACTTTCAAAACACATTCTGATGCCTCTATCCCATAGTCGCATTTCACAAACAATTACATCCATAATCAGATTATTGAGCATAATTTTGTCTCAACAGCAGCCCAAAAAAACTTACCAGCAAATTGGATAGGTTATAAATGCTCAAGATAAGATATCTGCAATGGTAAAGTTATATTTTGCGTTCTGTCTCTAGACGCTAGGGTATCTGACAGTTCGACGTTGACGTTACCATTACCAACTTTGAAACTAGTAATTCAGCGTGTCCTAATAGAAGATGTTTCGATACGCATTTGGGTGACATAATGACTTCATTAGAGACGCATAGAAAAAATGCGTTTCCTAACTAGTTGAATTTCGTTTGAACAAAATTAATGATCAACTCTACATGAGTTGTGTACCGATTATGTACAAAATCTAGTAGGCAAGTTGACTTCGCCCATCACTTTGAAGTATTCGTCAAACAATGATATGGTCAAAATCAGCGACGAAATTCACGAAATAGACTCGTCTGATATCTTCATTAGTGGAAAATGGCTGATTTAAGTTCAGATTTCCCAAGTGATATCGAGGGAGCAGCACGCACTACTAATTCTCTTCGTCCATCCATACTTTTATTCCGCAACTGGTTCGAAATTAACGTGAAGTAAGACGTTTCGAAGCTTCCGTCAGTTTTGAAAAGTGTCAGCTAACATATCAAAATTAGAAAAATATCTATTACGTCATCCTGTTCTCACCAGTCTAACCAGAAAGAACCGATCACATTACAACTACTGTTATAATCAAAATATTGTTGGACGATATATAATGTTGGAACTTTGAGTTGAGTAAATATATGATAATCGAGACATGAGAATAGTGCTTTGAATAGAAATATATATTTATACATCAGGACATTTAAATTCAATGGTGACTAAAATCAAGAAGTCATTCCTAGCACTAACGATGTCGCTGTTGAGGTGTCTTCATGGAATATCGCTTATTTCAATGTTATTTCATTAGGAAAGAATAACTATATGTGAAAAATATGATTGTTAATTGTATTACTAATTTTGATGTTTCGAGAAGTGGTTTCTCATTATTTTTTCAAGGAATCCGTATTTTCAATAATGTTGATGTATATGTTAATCACACGTCAAATCACGAAAGACGTCGCACAATTTTTCCTTTTAGAAAAAGGGAAGGGCAAGCAATCATTTTCCAGAACTCTTAAAACAAAATTCTGGAAACGCGGATTATTTTCCTATTAGGTGTTCACGTGACCACATCTGTCTCTGGACCTGAAACGATTTTCAACAACAAGTTGCAACTTTACTAAAATCGTACCGTAAACGAACAAATGAACACGTTCCTTCACGAAGAACTCAGGATGCCAATAAATCCTTTCTTCACTAAAAAAATTGATACCTCTCAACAACTAAACTCGCAACCCTAGATATTTCACTATCTGCCGATGTTTATCGCCCCTCGAAGACACAACTCAAACATGAGATTCGAGCGGAACTTTGAAAACCGTCGATTCCGGAAAACTCTGCGGCCTGGCGCCTATCAAATGCTGCCTGAGGGCCACCACCATATTCTCCGGCCCTATCAAATTGATCTCGAAGAAGAACCTCTCTCTCCGTGTCGAACTCAAATCCGGCGAACTCGTTCGCAAATTCTTCTCCTTGGTGTTCTCCGCTTCGTTGGTCTCCTCTCGACTCTTACTGTCCATCAACCACGTGACTTTGTCCGGGTCCTTGGTGCCGCCTACAGTGTGTCTCCGCTTGATGGACCTGTCTGGCATGCCGTTTTTTCTTTTGTGCTTCGTGGATTCTTTGAATCTTCTGTTGCTTACTAGTTCTCGTCTCTTGTTGTTGTTGCTTTCGGTTTTTTCTGTTTTGGTAAGGCTGTCTGATCTCTTCAGCTTGTCACCGGTTTTGTTTAAGCTTTCTGATCGTTTGAGCTTGCTGCTCAAAGGTGAAATGTTCCGTTCTGGTTTGTTTAGGGATTCGGATCGTCGCAGCTTGGAGCTTTCTTGGTTGGATTTCTTGTTTAGTTTGGTTATGTTCTTATCGTTATCAGGTACGTCTTCTTCTTTTTCTTTGTCTTCCAGTTCTTTTTCTATTTTCTTCAGCGCCTTGGAGTTGCCGAACTTGTGTAAACTGGGGTTTCTGTACAAATCACTAGCCTGCGGTACGTTTTCCTTGTCCGGGTAGGACTTTTTTTGGGGTTTTTCCGGGGAGTCATCCACGAAGGGGATGTCTTCTGATACGGTGATAAAAGGTAGGGCGTGGTCTTCTTTTAGCTTCTGGTCCAAGAGCTTGGTCATGGTGCTCAGCAAGGAATCTACAAGAAGTAAAATAATTGTTTAATCACTTGGTTTAATATGATGCGGAATGCTGTGGCATCAGAGGGGAAACGATGATGAAGAGAGTTACATATAGTCATGGATTCACGAAAGAGTGTCCTATAATAGTATATTATGTCACAAGTGTTATAAACGTCCTTTTAGTAACGAGTATTTCAGGCACGAGCGCATCAGAGCGAAGCGTGTGTTTAATAAACGAATGCCTAGAAGTTCATAAACGCGTTATGTACTATACTTTTTCCACGAACTCATAATTCTTCTTTTTGGCAAGATCCCATGATTCAGAATATTAGATTCACCTATCCGCTAACCTACAAATCAATTCGAAGGGAATAGGAATTGAGAACATAATACTATGCAACTGCATGCAACCAACATGGCACGTATAAGTGCTATTGGTCTGTCCAGTCCATAGGATACATGAATTCCATTAACCTTTGTGAATAAGAAGTTTTCAACTGACGTAGAAGATGAAAGTCTTCAATTCGCTGAGGTATCAAAGTTTTCGGTTTTCCAGGTTTTCTGATTGCATAATTTTTTCTTACATAAATGTTCTTACGTATATATATTGTCATGCTTAGCATACATTGAAATGACCACAAAGATGCTAGCTTCATTTTTACACGGAGTTCTTGGAAATATGCAGCTACCTAAAACATGATCTTCGATTTCACTTCCGTCTACATCTCTTATACATTTTCCTATAATTGACAGGCCGGATAGAATTCAAACGACTGAAGGTACGTTTGAATAATTATGTTGCCATGGAAATGTGTTTAAGTAGGTGTGTTGCCATGGTAACGTGTTTAATTTTTCGAAAAAATTACAGATCGTTAATCCGTGATTAATCGATCATTCAGCGTGTTACATATTCATACGCTAAGCCATTTTAGTTGTGAGTAGAAAAACTAAAACAGCGTCTAGATTGGTAAAAGTTAGTTTTCATTAAAGGTGTACTCATGTTTCCAACGAACTCTGGTGTATATTCGAAATATTGTCATTGGAATAATAAAATAGTAATTATTGATGATATGAAACTCGATATGAAATGTATCTGTCTGTCGAGACATTCACATTCTAGAGATTAACAAAAACTTGGTAGGTTGGTTACATGGTTTCTAGGATAGATTGTAACATCGTAGTAGCTTCTAGGACATTCGGAGACTCAAAAAATTATCTCTCTGTATTTCAACAATGGCGTTAAAAATATGGGACAAAAAGGTACTAGGTCACGGAATAAGAAGATCGACGTGAATTCTCCTTTCAAAATTTATTTTTCTGAATAGAAATTCATATTATGTACCTACCGAATTTGAGTGAGAATAGATCCACAGTTCTCGAGTTATTCTTGAAAATACCCTATATGAATATGTTCCTAACTTGCCTTCTTCATCAAACTTTAAGGAAGAATAGTGATAACGACAGACTCTGATTAGTATAATATATCGTAAATAAAGAAACAATTATTAGTATCACATCAACACAACATCGATTTCTGGAAAATTTTGTTTCGTTTTTGTTATTTTTAGTAGCGTTTTCCACTCCTCAATCAATGACGGCTGAATATCTAGACTGTCCGACGGTTCCCCCGAGTCTAGATAATTAGCCGCCATTGCCTCAGTTTCCACTCAGAGCGATGAAAATCAAAATTGATAACTTCAAGAGCTGTTTCAATCTATACCGAAATATCTCTACAGCTAGTTCCATCCCCTTCGATAAACTTTCAGTTAGGTTTGAATATTTGGCAGATCCTCTCTTATCACCGAGGTATTTTAATCGAAAATTTGAACTCTGAGCAAACATCGAGCAAGTTTGCAAGCCAATGCAGTGGAGTGGAAAACGTTAGAAGCAGCTGTGCCACATGAAGAGGAATTAGCAGAAGCCGATTGGAGTATGCAGAAAGCCAAGAAGTCATTGCGCACAGCCTTCTACCTCTCAATTTAAAGCCTGTTGTACGATTGCCTCGATCTAGGAGGCCTCTGGGGTGCAATGCTGGGCGGTCTCACTGACCTCCAACCCCTAACGGCGAAGGGTGCACTACCTCCTATCGTCCAACGAAAATATACATGTATAATGTGCAAACAATTATTTCATATTGGCGTATATCTGATCGGGAAAATATTTCATTTGATGATGTCTAGGAAATAATATTTTATTGGAAAGAACATTTTGGAGAATAAAAAAGTTACCAAAAATGAAGAGCTCTACATGCCTAAAAAAACGCCACCAGCAATTCTATTCGATGTCAGAGATTTGAATTCAGTTACTGATCTGGAAAAACGAGCATTCTAAGTTGATATTATTTCTAAACCTTTCTCAAATAAAACAATGTAAAACACCAGCTATAGTTAGCCGTGAAAAATAGATGAATAGTCTCTGGGTTGCAACTCTAGAGATGATATATTCATTATTGGCGTCTTTCTGCTGATATTGTTCGAAAATATTTCTATAACTAGGTATGTCTAAATACTTGGGAAGAGAATTCACGAACGTTTTCAGATTATGGGTGTAGAATAAACTGATCGAAAATATTTGAGGATATTTTTGCTGCTTCTAACTTGAGGAGCAACTGCCAAGGAGTAGAAACTTGTAAGGGGTTAGGAAGGAAGTGACCTTCAGCTTATAGTGATCGAATCCGCGTTCCAATTCATAGCAAAAACACAATATCCCCAACTTTTTTCGATTTGTTTATCACTAATATTTTTTATTGTGAATGGTATTTCTTGAGGTGAAAGAAACGATGATTATTGATATGAACCTGATCTCTAGTTATTTGGTTCACTGTATTGCTATATATAAAGAATGAAAGAATTTTTGATATTAGAGAAGACTTACCATCATCATTTGTCAGCTTATTCAAAGGTTCTAATGATTCTGTCCTTAGGCAATCATTCTGGAAAAAAGTACAAAATTAGTTGTTGATGACTTTCATAACTACGATAGCCTTCATTATTAAATTGGATGTAAATGAAAAACATCAGTCCAGAGAGCTTCAGGCTACATGAAACGACATTATATTTTTCTTCAACATAGAAAAGAGTGAATTAGTGGGATTGTAAAAAATCGAGTTTTTATCGGTTCACCAATATGATCTTGATATTCCTCATATAATATCTTCGGTTCAAAAAAGATAGATTGGTATGTGCTCCAATCACTTTGAAATATTTCTTTACATCATCTTCAATAAATAAAGTTATTTTTCCCATATGTTTATTTCATGAACCGATTGGATTCAGTATTAATTCAAATCATAACCATTTCTATTGTTCACATATCTCTCGAATAACAATTCCGATTGAACTCCAAAGTTATCTTTTCTCAATAATAAAACCCAAAAAGTTAATTGAACTCATCAGGTTTGCATAACTAACATCTTGAAGGGTTCCTCTCAAATTTATTTTTCATAGACTTATTGGACCTTCTGAATGAACAAGATTATGTGTATAGGCTGTCTCATTTTCGATGTCCTTAAGGGGTATCTCACTTATTTTCAAGAATAAAGATCTGCGGTTTTCGCAAACATTGGCTACATTTTCGTGGAACTCACGATACTTCAATCAGGGTTTACGTAACTCTCTTCGATTTTGAGATACAGGGTTGAATTGAAAATGTTGCATTTTGAGACTCCCCCTGTATCTCGGCAATCTTTTATTCATCTGGAAAAGTAAAAACTGTCTCTAACATTTTTTATGTGCAGTGGCGTAGTGAGATTTTCAGAATAAGCTGTTATTACTCAGATACAACCCCAAGTTATGTTTCTTCGAATGAAAAACCCTGTATATCTTTTCATAATTGAAACATTGATTATTTGCGCTTTCCAAAAATATATAGCTTTTATAAGATATTTTAAGTTTTAGCCATGCATTTAGATATAATTTCGAGTTTTCCAATAGATCTTTCATCGATGGGCCTTCGAAACATCTGGCAACATGGTCCATATGACAAATTTCCATAATTACCTTGTTGCTGATGCAGTGTTTCGTCACACACTAGTTTCAATGTTTCCAACATTCAACATTACAATTATTCAACACTATTTCTTTTCTATAAAAGCTGTGGACCTAATTAGTAGGTACCTAGTTATTGAAAAAATGCGAGTGCAGAATGTTTTATAATCTTTGTCACCTACCTGTTGAATAAATAAATTGTTCTCACGATGGCAAATAATAATACTGGATATCAAAACTATGGAGATTGAGAAACCAACTTATATCCCAACCATATCTTATTAGGATATAAGGAATAAAAAACATTCTTCACTCGCTTTCTTTCATAACACCTACTAATAAGTTCCAAAGCTTTTATAGCTGATAATTGATAAATCTTGAATGTTGGTAAAATTGATACTAGTCCATTGTGTCATAGCCCAGTCACCTTAGAAAAAATAGCGGGAATCGGAGCCAAAGTTTTGAGAATTGGTGTACGTGTTCCTTTTAGCATTACATCTTACCAAAAAAAAGTCACAACTCATACCTGTAGAGCTTGCGCCGCCATCTTGGAAAATAGGTGCAATATTTCAGTTTTTCACGTATATCTCGGTAACTGTCAACTTTATCGCGATTAAGGTGAAGAGGTAAAAATTTATCGTAAAAAAGTATTCATTGATTATTTTCGAAATATGCACGGTTTTGGACTTATGTCCCCACAACGATTTGGCAAAATATAAAATTCTACTGCAAACCGACTGGACAAACTATAATTTAGTTGTATACACTCATGGTGATCAGTAGAAAAGCTGCTAGATCTCATAATCATGAGTTCCAGGATGGACAGAGTTGCCCCAATTGTCAGCAGGAGCAAGACAGTACTGTTTCGACCCACCAGGTCTCATCAGCCGCTCTCGTTCTGCTGACAACTGGGACAACTCTAAGCTTCGGGTATATCACCCATTTCGAAGACGCAGGGTATAACATGGAGAATAAGGCATGTATTCTTCGTTATTTGAAAATACAACCATCGGGTCGGGTTCGTCCGGAACATCGTATTCATTACTTAGAAGAGATGAAACGGAAAAATCGAACTTCACCTCGGATTCCAGCGTTTCGGCGTTGTCCTGACAGTATTGTGCGTTGAGGCACGATGCTCCAAGGCAATATTCGCAACTAATCGAGCATTTTAGACCCGCTTTTCGGCATTCGCAGGCTGCCGTGCATCCTTTCTTGCAATCGCTAGAAATCATCTGGAGCAAAGAATCTGGAGCAGCAGGTAGGGTAGTTGGCACAGGAACCAGACCAACAGCACTCCTTTTCCACCCCCAAAGTTCAGGACATTTTTGATTACCCAACGACTCTTGTACCTGATGATTGACTCTGAAGGAGTGCTGCCTAAAAGCTGCTTCCGTCGGTGGTAGAGAAGCCAGATCTACTTTTTTTTGTAGCAGATTTGGCTAACAGATTGTACCGTAGCTTCTTCAATGATGTTTTCGTTTTATGGGCATCATACAAAGCTAGAAAGAATCTTTCACATGTAGTAGATACTTCTTCACTCTTAGCTTCCGGGTTGTTGAAAGCCTTCGCAACTTCTCGTAATGATGGCCGGTCCTTCATGAGTTTGAAGCATTTCAACTTTCCTTTTTTAATCTTTGGAAGAAGTCCATGGTAACTCAAAGTGGAGTGGTGTAGTTCATAGATGAAAACCCAAAGTCATCTCCACAACTTTTAAAAGTTGTGGAGATGACTTTGGGTTTTCATCTATGTTTCTTTTTTTAAATAAACGTGATGTGGTATCACAACCCCCAAAGGTATGTAAGAGAAGGATAGTTCTCTGTTATTTAATATTGGTTTGTAGTTCGCGGGAACAGTATACCTTTTTGCCTTTATACATTGCCTTTTTTTGGTTTCACAAAATAAATGTTGCGTTCTTCAGCCTTTTAGTTCCATCAGCATCATCAGAGTACCCGTCGAAAACAATCACCGAATTAGAGCCGTAGTGTTTTCCTGACGTAGGCAATGTAACTGGAGCAGATTGACAGGAACGTTTGATTTTACTGCCAAATCATACGATGTAAAAGAAGAAAACCATTAATATGTGGCACTTTATCAAGACTCCTTCATTCATAGAACGGCTAGGCTCTGGAATTCATTGCCTGTGGAAGTATTCCCAACAACATATAATCTCCGAAACTTCAAAAAAATTCCAATACCTACCTACTGTCCCTATACTCCCTAGGAACGAGCGATGTTCTTTGAACATTATAGGGATACCCTTTCGTGCGCTCCAAGCAATAAAAAAAAAACACTAGTATTCTGTAATGGCCGATCGCTGTTTTGTGTCGCGAGGATCCTTGAATATGGCGCCGACTCTCTGACAGTTACTTGTAGTTGGAATATATGTATATCAGAATAATTATGAGTAAGTTTCTCAAATATCGCATATTGTTTTACGATTTACTGATAAACCATGCACTAAACGAGTATTTATGTAGAAAACTTTTTTTTTCTAAATTCAATTTCCTTCATTTTACCTCAGCATCTTGATATCGATAAAGTTATTAGATACTGAGATATAACCGAATAACTGAAAAAGTGCACACATTTTTCAAGATGGCGGAGTTAGCTCTACAGGTACAGGTGGTGACTTTTTTTTGGTTGAAAGTCATGCCAAAGGGAACATGTACACCAATTTTCAAAACTTTGGGTTCGATTCCCGCTATTCGTCAAATTTGATACTAAGGTGATTGGGCTATCAGCAATGAGGTGAATATAAAAATTCTCGATATATAGACGATGATGTTGCCACATATTTACAAGGTCCATTGATGAGAAATCGTCTGAAAGACTAGAAATTATCTAAATTCATGGCTAATAATCAAACATTTTTGAGAAGCGCAAAGCATCGATGTTATATGAAAAAATATACAGAGTGTTCCATATTTACATTATAAAAAACATAACTTTGGGTGATTTCTGAATAATAACAGCTTATTTTGAACGCCACTGGATTCTACTTCGGAAAAATGGCAGGTGAAGAGGCAGGTTTTACTTTTTCGAACAAGGAGGGTCCCAAAATGCAATATTCTCATTTTCGCCTGTATCATCTTTAACAAGATATACATAGAGGGCCAGGTAGCCGTGCGGACAGAGTGTCATTATTCTAATTTGCATTCGCTTGCCGGTCGTGGTTTCAATTCCCCGCGACAGCAGGCATTTTTCTGATGGCCCAAGAAAGTGTTTGGGATCACCCGTTAAAAGGTAAGGCCCCCGTCATTCCTTTCTCGCACAAGACTCTCGACGACTTCTGAGGGTTGCTCGTAAGGGGGCAATTGAATGACGGATAGAACAATTTTACAACAATTTTGCAACAAATTTTTACAACAATAATGGAGATATTACGTGAGGACATCGAAAAGAGGACAGCCGTAGATGAATAAAATATATTATTACCTCAGTCTCGTATTTGACCTTCTTCAAATTCCCATTGGAAACATCCATCTTTCCGGCATCACTCGCCCCCACTACACCACCCCTCCTGTTGCTCACCCTCATCACAATCCTATCACCACCACTACCCTCCACGTTCACATTCCTGTTCGCATCACCGTTCGTCACAAAATCACCGCCGTTCGCACTGTATTGCACTGAAAAATCACTGTTGTCTCGCACTGAAAAATCACTGTTGTCCAGCGAATTCAAGCTGTTCCTGTTGGTTGTGTGCGCGAAGACGTTGGAAGCGCTGTGGGTTTTGGTAAGGTGGTGCAGGTCTTTGGATTGCAGGGAGAGTCGGCCATTTTGGTTGACGTTGGACGCCGAACAGCTCAGGTGGGACATCGTCTGAGTGTCTGGAAAAAAATCGGGGATATTTAGATCAGATTATAGAGATGTTCTGCAATCACATTTATTTGCTTGGTTACCTCCGGTGCCGTTTTTCAATGTCATTTAGAGCAAGACACGATTTATTTGTAGCGTTCTGTAATTTGACAGTCAGAAAGAAGATGAAATCGTTTTGCTCGGATCATCAATTCAGAGTAATCATATATATAATATCAACTTTGACAGCTTTATGTTGAATGACTGAAGACTGAAGGTCAGTTATTGCAGTTGGAGCACTGGTTTCTAGTTAGGTTTGAGTCTGAAATGAATTCATTTGTTCTGTATAAGCAGCACAGTTGTATGAGTCATAGATAGATAAACTACTCATATATTAAAGCCGAATATAATTGGATAAAATATAGTATAGATTACACAGAAAAAGGCGTGCCATAATAGAAAAAGAAAACATATTGATCCAATTTTTATTGCCATTGCAGTAGCAGTATAGTAGACTCCCCAGTTCCCAGGAGTGTTCTTTTATATTATTTATTTGTTTGCTCCAGAGGTCACATGACTGAAAATCTTCTCCCTCTCACTCTGCTCTCGGATGCGGTTACAGAACATCTCATATAAAATATCCATTGTTCAGAAGAATACTGAATTCTACCAACAAAGAGTTTGGGGGGAGGCTAGTACAGATAGTTGAAGTAACTATAACTTGAGTTCCTAAATGTACTTGACATTAAATGTTTTTGAAGTTTTCATGGCACTGACACTCGACAAGCAGTGACAGTGAGACATAACCGAAAACGATTTTGAAGTAAATCATCATCATCAAGGATAAGAATATGTTTTCGCATATGGATAAAGAAAGGCCTCTCGCATCTTCCTTCCTCTACATGTTCGGGGAAGAGTACATCCATCCATGGAGGCCAGGTTAGCCGCGTGGTTGAAGCGTCAATATTTTATTCACGATGGCTTGCCGGTTGGTGAGTTCGATTCTCAGGACTGCACAATTTTTCTGACAGCCTGAGAAACTGTTTGGGATCACACGTCAGAAGGCAAGGCTCCCTTCATTCTATTCTCGCACAAGTCTCTCGAAGACTTCTGAAGGTTGCTCGTAAGGGAACAAGGTTACAATAAATTAATTAGAAAACCGTTTCTTCTTGAAATATGGAATGATAAGGATGAAGGATCTCAACGGAGACTGATGGCAAGTTGGAATGTACATATATACCATCGGAGTACATGTACTATTACTATGAAATGATAATAAACTGAGCGGTAAGTATATATATAAACTTACGTTCAGTTGAATATCAATTATTGTAGCGAAAATGTCCAGAATGGGGTAAAAATCAATCAATTGCACCTAATAAAACATACATTCAGTTCACATCGAACATTTTTCGCTTAAACAAGAGTGGTAAAGGTAATAAGTATAGGAATGCATGATTTAACTGTGATGTTTGTTCTTTTGTATTATATGATCAACTTATAACATCATATTGATAATAACTCGGAGTTGGTACTTTCCACTTAGGCTATTTATTGTTATTCAATATATTATACGCATTAGAGTCACTGGATGTTATTAGTTTGATAAGAGTTCGGACACAGAAATGACAACGGTTAGGGTTTTTCAATGTTTATATTTGTTAAGTTTCACACCTTGCATTGTAACAAGAGCACCATAGTCGTCCCGCGCTTTTTCATTCAAAATTGTTTGAATTTGACAATACATTTTATAAACGTCAGAATTGAAATAAAATTTCATAATTATACATTCGAGATGAAAGCAGCTATGGAAATTACTTGCTGTGTAATAAATTGTGCCAATTCTGAAAAAAATGGATATCATTTATTCAATTTTCCGAAACAAATATCGAGACCATTCGCTTATGGAACAAAGATATGAAATGGCCTGATGGGTGCAAAATCAATTTGAAGACGAGCGAAATTTGTGAGGTACTCATTAAAATTCACTTTTTATAACAGCATCTGATTAGAATGAAACAATATTTTAGGCCCATTTTCAAACAGAAGATTTCAAAATCTGTTTGTGAGAATCTACTGTTCCATCAATTTACAAAGCAGGCGATTTCGAGAACAAAATTCCATTATTATCATCACACAAAATACAAAACAAAATGATCATGGAAAAGAGGAAATGATCGCAAAATTACATAATGAAATTGAGAATTTGAAAACGAAACTAAGAAAAGCAAGTAAACTACAAAGTGATATATTATTGAATGGCGTTTTTGGTGCCGACCAAATTTAAAATTCAACAGTGGAAAGTGAATAGTTATTTATGTATCAAGGGAATTATTATAAGGGCCTCAATTACGCTGGAGGTTAATGTTTTGGAGATATTCCCTATATCGATCCATGTTACTTAGCTCCTAGGGCGCTAAGTGGAGTTGTTGAGAACTTTACAAAACCAAGTATTTGGTGGGTCTCGTCATAATAAACTACTCTTTTTCCTATCAAATGTTGATCGAAAAATGCTTTGTTCTCTGTATTTCAGCATTCTGTATCTCCGAAATGAAGCATTACCGGACACAAAAGCTTATATGGACTTTATTTCTTATAATTGTCTCAGGAATACTTCACTTGGAAGTACTTATGTTACTTCCTGTATATTGAGAATATCTACCTTTAATTTAATATTAATAACTTTATGTTTTATACTCATCACTGGAGTACAATTTCACATACAATAAGGAATTATAGCTATAAGTTCATCCATATGTGTATATTTCCTAATATCAAAATGTTGTTACATGCATTTTTTTCATTTATATAACAGTTGTTCTGCTAGAAGTGTATCACTATAAACTGATGTGGGTGTTTGTACCCAATACCCATTGTCCATCTACGGCTATGATTGATTTGACAGAAAATATAACCTCTAAAATCGTATTTGACAATCAGGCACTACTAGGGAAATTGAAAAGACAAAGAGCAGAATATATGTCTTATTCTTTTATTCACTTAAACCATTGTATTATAGAAGATAGAAAAGGACAAAAGTTCAGCTGTGTCCGAACTCTTATCAAACTAATACCATCCAGTGACTCTAATACGCATGATGTCTGTCCACTACCTGCAATAGTACTGATGCAGCGTTGCCACGTCTAGGAAAATGTACTAAAAAGTGAATACATTACAATGACTATACAGCGTTCAGCGCTCGACTGACTATAGATCGCCGTTCACATTGCTAGAGGGGTTGTTGATACGAATCCGGCCATGGAAAGACCATTTTCGATAACAATAAATGGTGCACGGGTTAAGTGTCGACATCTTTTGGCACCGCAGAAGTTTTTTAAAGTTCAGTTATAGAGTTATAGAGGTCCTTCGATAGTTACCTCACGTTTTACTATCGCCAACTGGTGAGAGTTGAATTCTTAGCCCTCATTAATTCGACATGATTGTGGTTTCTCTTGTTATCTTAGGGTCAAACAACGTGTGCGACAAAATAGTGTCCCGAAGGATTTTTACAATTATATACCATTTCGCAATGTGGAAGTCATTATTTACCTATATTCATAACGGATATCTCTGTTTTCCTCGGAAGCTGGAGCATAGCTTCTGTTTCCTGTTTGAAGTTTTCTATCCTTCTTCGGAAATCGTCTTTGTCTGTTTCGTACTTGAACCAAGGCACCTTCTCGGAAGATTTGTTTTTCTTTTCTATGTCCATGACCGTCGTGGGGATTTCTTCTCGCATTTTGCAATCTGGACTGGAACACTGGCCATGAAAAAAACAAAAAGGATAATCTTGAGAAAACTACGAAAATGAATAATTGTTCGTTTTTTGAAAATATATCAATACGAATCATTACCGTTTTTCAATTCTTTGGTCACTAGAAATTCGAATACTGATGGATTTGAATCTGGCCTATACAGGAAAAGTATAACTACATATTATACTGTGATGCCACTTTTGAATATTGATAACTTATTTCCTATTTCGAGTATAGATATTCTATACCCTAAAATTACATTCACGTTCAACTGTTTTCATAAATTTCAGTTTGATATTGGCTGTCACCATGGGTTGTCAACAAGATGCATGTTGTCAAGAAACGAATTCCACACACTATACTACTACTAATTATGACAAAACACTTTGACCAAATTTTTTATTCTTTCCTAATTTTCGCCCTCGAGCTACAAATCGCACCTTGGAAAAAATCTTGCATTTCTGTCCCTTGATGTATAATACACTATTATATTATGTAACCTGAAATCATTTGGCCTGTTATGTTGATATGTTCAATCCTCTGTTTGTTTCTACTTTGGATATCGTTCAAGATCCGCTTCTCTATACAACAATACCTAGTAATTTCCTAAAACAACTTCGTGATCCACCGATATTGATATCGTTTATGATCCACCATTATAGGTGAATCTTGTAATGAATCTTCAATTCATTCCATTCCAATAGGAATCCAGTTGAAGACAAAGTGTAAGAATTACGAAACACTCAACACTTATTCATCCTCGCGAAAAGAAAAACAAGAAATTCGATTGTATTGTGATTTGTCTGTTTTTCATTCAACATTCTGAGCCAGTATGGATTTTCAACAAAGATTCAATGATGAACAGTTTCAGCGACTATTTCACTCATCTTGAAATTGCCACAGAATCTGACCAATCACAAACCGAAGAAAACTTTCTGATAAATCTATCAGCGTTGGTGTTTTCAACGATGAAATCATGAATGACACAGCATAGTTTGACATTTTCCAAAAAAATAATCGTAACTGTGGACGTCAGAATGAGTCGCTTCATCATTAAATATAATAATTTCAAATCTTGCGCAATCGATTGATCAATAATTACATCAAAAAAATTTTGACGCATCGATATCCCTACAAAAAATATATAAATTATCTTATCAAAGATACCAGATCAGCAAATAATGAACAATTCAATGATAATTGAAAACGAATATTCACCAACCTCTTTCAGATCTGTAGGAATAATGAACACTTCAATGATAATTTAAATCGAATAATATTCACCAACCTCTTTGAGATCTGTAGGTGAAAACGACTGGGCTGGGAAAATTTTGATGTTGGTTGGCGAAACTGGCTCTTCCTTGCAGTCCTGCAGAGCGTTTCCCTTGTTAGGTTTCCTTTTCACTTTCCTTTGTGCCGCCGAAATTATCGAAGAAAACAGAGCACCATTTTTCTCTTTCGAATCCTTTAAAGCTGCGAAAGACGAATTTTATATAGATTCAACTTTGGGAAGTTATACAAGAACGGTGTTCTTACCTTCGTACTTGCTAATATTATGCAGCAACAAGGCTTGATTGTTTCCGTAATCTAAATCTTCGTTGCTATCTGGTAAACCGATGGGCACAGGAAGGTTTTCTTCGTTTCCATTTTCGGGGAAAAACCAGTCAGCCTGAATCAAATAATTTGGATGAAAAATGTCCCATAAATATTATACCTAACAATTTTTTTCGTCTTAGTAATAATAACATTTTTATCCAAACGGCATAGAGAGTGACTTTTTTTCTGACACTTGATATGCAGGATCACAAAAGGAATCAAAAATTCAGCAAAAAATTTGAGATCATTATAAATCATAAAAAAAATTAACAGAAAATGAAACATTCCTGAATTACGCTAAAAAATATAGATTGGTTCACAGAAAGGTCATAAAAGTTTCCAAATCAATGCATTATAAAAAAACGCTTGCAGACGCAAGAAATCAGACTAGAGAAAACTGGGCAATTATAAATAGTTTAAGAGGTAATTCGAATGGTTATACTTCCACCAACTTGCCTTTAGATCCAAATCTGTTGAATTACTTTTATTGTTCAGTAGCTGAAAAACTGACGTCAACTCTAGTACCCAATATTGATCCAATGTCCTACATGTCAGAAATATTCAGTCTGGAGACATTTTGTTTCATACATATTAATCGTTATGACTCACAAGATACTTTCAGGAATATAAAAAAAAATTGTGTGGTGTGGATGAAATATCGCTAAATATATTGAATAACCTCTCTGATAATGCCCTCAACATTCTAGTTGAATCAATAAATATTTGATTTGCTATAGGCGAACTCGCCTCATGTCTGTGGTGATTCCAATATTCAAAAGGGGAGACCCTACCAATCCAGCAAGTTTTCGCCCAACCTCCATTTCTTCAACGCTTTCAAAAATTATTGAGAAACTATTTGAAAAACAAATGTGAAGCTTCGTAGACGAGCATCATCATCATGCCAATTTGGTTTTCAGAACTCCAAAAACACAGATGATGCAATTTTCACAATGCGAGAGAATCTTTATTTGAAACTCAATTCTGGTGAGGCAGCCGCTGCAATTTTCTGTGAATTTTCAAAAGAATTTGCGTGAATCATGAACTGCTTTTGAAAAAATTTAGCAAATATGGTTTCAGGGGTATAGTTTGGGATTGGTTCGATTCATATTTGTCATAACGCAATAAAATTGTGCGCAGCGACGGTAAATACTCTGATAATAATAAAATACTCCACGGTGTTCAGATTCACAAAATGCTGCCATACAGAGTGTTGTTTTTGGTTTTTCCTTAAGACGGATCTGGATTCTGATCTCGATTTTCATTTCGTTCTGATGTGTTATATAAGTGGAATACTTCTACCAAGTATGAATAGATTATACAAAGTGGTTAAAAAACTATTACCAGATGAAGATTTTGCCAAAATCAAGATGATATCCTGTATCTCACTTATAAACGACGGTAGACCCATCAATGGGGGGTGATTTGAAAACATTAAAGTGTCCTCTATCTGCATGTATCGTATGTACATTTAAGTCTGAAACAACCTGTATGTCTGGAAATGTCATGTATATTTCATGTACATTATCTATCTCTGACAATGTCTAGTCTATTGTACAATAGTAAATGAGACAATAAACGATCTATCTATACAGGGTGATCCACGGTGGATGGCCTATTAGAAGTATCTGGAGAACGAAAAGACAGAACATTCTGAAAATTAGGATGCTTCGATAATTGAACATTCCCTATCTTTCTAAAATATTTTCATCGATACAGTGTTGCCATTTATGATAGAAATAAGTTGTAACTTCGTTATTTTAAATGGAGCACCCTGTATTTTATTGCATTTTTAAATCCTTCCTGAAGAGCTGATTTCATCAATGCATCTCACTTGGGGTCTAGCAGGTATGATTACAGAGATATAGGGTGTTCAAAATCGAAATTTTTCAGTTTTAGGATTGTTTGTGTCGAAACTATTTATTATCGATCGAAACGGCTTACATGTCCCTATCTCAACTTACGATTTACTATCTACTGACACAGTTTCCACACAAAAAATCCTTAAATTGGAAAATTTCGATTTTAAACACCCTATATCTCTGTAATCATTCCTGCTAGACCCCTAAGTGTGATACATTGATGAAATCAGCTCTTCAGGAAGAATCTAAAAATGCAATGAAATACAGGCTGTTCCATTTGAAATAACAAAGTTGCTAGCTGTTTCTGATAGAGGTGGCAACACTGTATCGATGAAAATATTTTAGACGGATAGAGAATGTTCAATTATCGTAGCATACCAATTTTCAGAATGTTTTGTCTTTTTATTCTCCATATACTTCTTATAGGCCATCCACCGTGGAAAATTTGCCATGGACTACTCACATGCGTGACCAATGTCTCCACTATCTTGCACTGATTCGTCATATGGCTAACCATACTCTCCATCGTCTCTCCCTCAGGCCTAACTATGGTAGGTCCAAAAACAATAGCTAGATTCTTCGCTTCCATCTTGTTGACCTGGCAGTTGTCAGACACCCTCTTCAAATGCAAGATGATGTGCTTCAGCGTGTGGTAGTTGTGCTTCGGTAACCCCCTTACCAACCTTCGAAGACGAAGTAAATTGGATTTGAGACAAAAATTGAATATTCACATCATGGCCATCAGGCCATTTTTACTGTATGCCTCGGTAGTCTAGGGCCAGATGGCCAAATCTCATAACACCACAGCACACCAGAGTAAAAACATAATTATAATCCCCCTCGGAAATGCATTATTTTCCGCAAATAATTCATGCACGTGGGGGATTCGGTAAGACAATTTTATACCGGAATTATATCTAAAAAGAAAACATTAAGTGACTATTTACTCTACCTGTGTCTAGTAATTTAAAATATATAGTATCAGATACACTATTATATAAAAATAATTGATTCCATATGATTTTCTTACTAGGTTATTTATTATTATTTCAATTTTGTCTGATTATATGATCGCTGTCATGTGGCAGAAAATTTCCAGTGATCGATTGAAAATGCCTGATATGAAATTTTCGGAATAATCAAATCCCATTCAGGTGCAGGGGTATACAATGAAGAAACAGGGAAAGAGATTTCAGTTCCTTTGGGCGAATATGCCTAAGTGTTCCAGGCAGAAGTACTTGCAATACTCACCTGTGTCCAAGAATACCTAATTATGAGAGGTCGTAGACCAATCACTATATGCTCGGACAGCAAAGCTGCAATACTGGCTTTGCAATCCAATAGGATCACATCCAATTTGGTGTCCGAGTGCAGAAAAGCCTTGGAAAACCTGGCAAAATCAAGAAAAGTCAGCCTCATGTGGGTCCCGGGACATTCGGGAATACCCGGAAACGAAGAGGCAGACAGACTGGCAAAGATCGGTTCAGGACGGACCTCGGTCGGACCGGAACCAATCTTGGGAATACCAAATAGCCTGGCAATGTCCTCTATAGAGGAACAGCTGCAAAAGCAATTCCTCAAAATATGGAAGGACACACCAGGAATGAGACAATCGAAGCTCCACATAAAGGAACCTTCGAAGATGCTCGCAAAAGAGGTTTTATTCCTAAACAGGCGAAACCTTAAAATGGTAGTGGGGCTCCTAACAGGGCACAACCACCTCAATAGGCACCTAGAGCTTATTGGGATAAAGGATGACCCCCTTTGCAGATGGTGCCTGGAAGATGACGATACGTCATCACATGTCCTCACTGAGTGTCCAGCACTGCCGCATCAGAGGAGGGCTGTCCGTGGCAACATAATTTTGAGGCCAGAGGACGTAAAAGAGATTCAGCTGAGGAAGCTGCTGAACTTCTCCAAGGTAGTCGGCATACCCAGCTGAATGTCGTAACATGTGGGCGCACAATGGGCCCGAATAAGGAGCCCACGTGCAGGGGGTTCACCCGCCCACCAGTGCTTCGAAGAAGAAGAAGAAGACGAAGAATCAAATCCCAGATCTGAAACTCCCTTCAATCGTGTCCGTCATTTAAGAACGGAACATCAAGACTTTCGAAAAAGCTGGGGTTCATGAGAATCGGCTTCTTCGAAATGTAGTTGAGTATAACCCATCTGGTGATCAATCAAAGTTCAAAAGATCAAGATTAGCCATGAACTATATTATATCAACATTACGACCAAATTTACTCTTCTCAAATTTTTTATATTTATTTGTTTCGCTCGATCTCTTTCAATTATTTTTTTCTATCATTATTACTGATAAGATATCTCAGAATGCATTTCTGAGACTTATTTGGGACAGAAATGCTGTTCGCAACAAACGTCAATACCGTTTTTATTTTTTTGTTTCACGATAGATATTTTGGATAAGAGGGACTCTTCCCAGGTTTGAATCGAATAAAAGAAAAATCCAATCTCAGACTAGCTAGTTAAAATGGGTGATTTATTTTGATTCTTTCTTCTGCGGGAAAGGCGTCACATTCCTAGGACCTCTGTGGAAACGCTGCGAACTCGATAATTCCAAAGGAAGTTTTTGGATAAAACACCTTTTATAACATAATAATACACTTATAACAACATAAATTGTCAGAAATCCACTAATAATAATTATAGTAACTTCATGCACTGTTAAGATTAATTTTTTTTGCATAAAATGCTACAATAGAATTGTTATGATTATGTTATATGTTTTTTTCTGTCCCGATGAATACAATTGTCCATATTTTCTAATTATTTACAATCTACGTTAAATATAAGAGTAGCCCTAGGCTAATCTTTCGTCAATTTTGTAAGAAAATAAAGACGATTTATAATTATTATTATTATTATCATTATTATGCATTGTAAGGTACATGAAAAAATGGAAAGTATGAATTTTTCAAAGATGAACGTGGCAGTACCGCAAAGTTTCGTAGTAGACGAGCCATAATCGTATAGTGAGAAATGTCATTTGTCGTTTTTGTTGTTAATAATGGTTTTTCGAATGTTGTGTGACCAGTTTTCGGTGTTTCAGTAACTAATTTAATACTGTTAATCTAAAACAAATTCAGCACTGTCGAATCTGTAGACAAAGGTTAGTTACAAATAACCTATCCCGATATTTCAGAAGTACGTTGATGAAAAGCATGTTCAGAATATTGAATAATTATATCAAATAACCTCACTCAGACGTTAGAAAACGACGAGAAAATAATGTAACAATGCGTGAGAGTTAATTTATTAATGCATATACACACTTTAATAGAAACTCCGATGTATTAGATCTATAAAATATATCAATGAAGAATATCAATTCTCTCGCCATGATTCCGCAGAGTTATCCCCTCCATTCGAGATTCTATGCATTTATCCGTGTTTGGCGTTTAAGATTGTTAACGTTCATACTTTTCAATGATTTATGAATGAATCGCGGTGTCTATCTATCGCTATTCATTCTGAGGATGCAATAATGACCAACCTTCGCAGCTGCTCCATTCTTTCTTTGGGGTTCTCGATCTTGTCCGCCTTGATGAAACTGGGATAGAGGTGGACGGTGATGAGAGAGTCCGGCATTTTCCGGAAGTAGGACTTCAGAAGACTGCCGACGACGTGCAAGTCGTTCCATCTGGGGTCTTCCAGGGGTACGTCTTCGTAGTTCTTGTTGACCTCTTCGGTTAGGGCGGTTATCGAAGCATTGTTACCGGGAACCCGGTAGATACCGATGGTTTGCAACCCCCTTTCGTCAATAATCTCCGTACAAACCTCCACGAACCTCGGCAAGTAAGGGTTACTCGCCGAGGGCAGGCACTCATCTATTGGAACCCCGAAAGTGGAACCTAGAGCAATTTTTAACGCGCGATATAACCATGCAGATATTATACAGAGTGGTTCGAATGTGTTTCGATCTAAACTACGCAACACTCATTTCCTCGCACCCCAAAATTTCATCCCTGTTAAAATATGAATAACTTTTTTCTGCTTGGAACAATTCGAATTCGGATTACACTGTTCGCTAGCCCAGTCCTTCAGCTATTATCTTGTACTTCGTTAAAATATGAGGTTTTTCATATAAAATCACTACAGGGTGTCACCTGGAACTGAAAAATTTCGGAATTTTCAGAAGGATCCCAAATGAACAGAAACTTTTTTTTTTCAACTTCGACAGCAGAGGCATGAAGATGATCTCATTACCTAGGGATATTTTTCAAATTGTCTTCTTATCTCTTCCATTTACAGAGTGGTCTAAAAAAATTAACTTTTTGGTCTTGCAGTCATAACTTTTTTCCTCGTCAACCGATTTTTGAAATTTCCGAAGCATATTCCAGCTTCGATCGGACAAATACATAATACAGCCTTTTATGAGTTACGGTATCCTTAAAATCTCTGGAGTATCGAACTATACAACCATAGGATTTTCTGTCAGCTGACGATATTTGTTCGATGTGAGTCACAAATGAAAGTTTTCGATCCAATATTACTCCCAGATCCTTGAACGTCTCTGCTCTGTGTGAGTCAGTATTATCAATGATATAGTTGAACGTTTATTCTATCTGAGTTATCTTGTAATAATTGACAATCATTTCTATCTGAAATTTTGTGGAATATTTTCATATCGTCAGCATATAGCAAACCATTAACTTCAATGCCGTCGAGTATGTCGTTAATAAATATGTTAAATAACAGAGGACCAAGGTTCGACCCTTGAGGTACTCCAGTTGTAGCAAGATATTCGACTGACCTATGAACACGCCAATCGACATATTGGCTTCTTGATGATAGATATGACAGAAATAATTCTATCAAATGAGAAGAGAAATCAATTATAGACAGTTCATTCAATTTTTTTTATGTTCTCGTTTCCACAAAAAGGGATATCCTGTAATGTTCAGAGAACATCGTGAGAACCTAACCTGTATGCGTATAGTCACATGTAATAAGTTGGATGTTGTAGAGTGACTTTTCATAAAACCGCGTTGGTCAATAGACTGGAAGTAGATATGTTTTTGTTAGAGAATTTCAAATACCTTGCAGAAATTACAGATAATAGTGATAGGTCTGAAATTGGTAACATCTAAGCGATCACCTCTCTCGTATATTGGGCAAACTTTAGAAATATTTCAAGAAGATGGAACAGTTTTCGTCAGTATTGTTCAATCCCTGAAAAAAAAACAGCAACAAACCTTCTGGTGCTGTGGGCGAACTGGGGCTATTGGCCCCCTGGTTGAACCTCTTCAGCTGCTTCACCATACGACCGCGCCATGTTTTCGATTTGGGACTAGTGGCGGTTGGTTCCGGCATGTGAGAGGGTTTCCTGGTTTTGCTAACCGGCGATTGGCCGGTGGGGGAGCGGTTTCGGGAAGTGGGGGTTTTCGGTTTGTTCAGCTGCGGCGAGAGGTGGCTGCCTTGCACTTGGAAGGTGGTGGAGGCCGGGACCAGTTGGGGGACGGCTTGCTGCTTGTTATGCGAAGGTTCCTGCAAAAAAATCACATGAATAATATTGAAAATAATACAAATAATAATAGCTTGTTATCAAGGAAGGAATGGTATATCTCAGACGCGTAGCGAGAACATTGAATACACTAGGGGGAAAATTAACCTTTGCTCCTATGATTCATATATGATTTTATGCGAGATCATTCGTAAAGTCGCACTTAATCGCCCAGATTTGCGATCGTAAAGTAGAACTTTAGCGCCGTAGGGCGATAAAAGCGTACAGCGGGTGTTAAAGTGCCAGACTAAAGTAGGTGATCGGGTAGTAATAGCTATTTATATATCAAGGGAGCAAAGGTACCTATTTCCTCCCCCGTGTGAAGTTTAAACATTGAACACACATGGGAGGAAATGAACCTTTGCTCCCAAGATATATATATATGATTTTATCCACGAACGCATATATTTGAGAGTGTCGATCTTAAAATTGTGCTGCAAGCGGTCTATCCGAGTCTCGATCCAAATCAATGTGTTACATGATCTAAGGTTACAAAAGTGTAGTATGCGCCCACAGAGTATGCCATGGACCATAATTGACAGTATATTTGATGCTGAACGAAAATCAATTTGACACTTCTGTCATATTGAATTTGTTTATTGTGATATTGCATTTTAATTAAAGTTTCGACTTTCGATTGAGTGAATTTGGAAAATGAGGAAGTGTAGGTTTGAGTGTATTGGAGTTTGGAAAGGAAATTGTTATTTGTTTTTCGGTCGACCTCGTATTAACGACTAAGTTTAATGTATATGAAATCGTTCATTAATGACCCCTATTAATGAACGATTTGTCTATTAATGCACGATTGTTTTATAGGCAACCAAACATACACCGCGTGCATTCATTGTTTATGCTATAACTTACGGAATTTGCATTTAAATATGGATTTCATCGAAGATTTTCCGTTAACGGGTTCGCCTTTCCAAGTTTCTGACACGATTTTAATCCCTGTTTTCTAACACAAGGAATTTATTTTCTATATTGATCATTTCGACAAATGTCAAATGTCACTAATGTCAGTAACAAGGCTACTGGGTGATTCTTAGCAGTTTCCGGATGAATGATGAATTCGTGAACCAAGTTTTCTTCATTGCAGGAGAAATGAGAAATATAGTCGACGGAAAAATTGTGTAACCAACTTCTATATTAAAAGGCGATTAATGATCTTGAACATTAACGCGCTCGCTTCGCTCGCTCGTTAAAATATCTCGATCATTAATCGCCCTCATTAATACACTAGTTGGTTAAATAACTATTAATGATGGTGACACTGAAAAGGTAAAATTCTCTTTGCTCCCGTGGGAGTAAATTGGCAGGTTTGTGTCAGCAAACGCTTACTTTCGATGCAGTGAGTAGATAAATTAATTAATTTGTATTTTGTGTAACTGCATTTCAAAGTTTAGATTGAGCACGTTTGGAATGACGGTATATCGACGTCGAAGGATGCATGCTGAAGCCAAATTATTTTACCTCCCACGGAAGGTAATTTTTTTCCTCAGGTGAGAGTAAATTTGCAACTTTGTTTCCTCAAATAAAGAATCAAACGCCTATACTTTCGATTCAGTGAGTAGATAAATACTTTCATTGTAAGCCAAATAAGTAGAGTAGGTGCACTCAAATAAATAGGTAAACAAAATGAGATAGTACCTACCTAACACTCAATCTAAAAGCCATATAAGTATTCACCTGATAGATAAACAATAATAAAAAATAAATGAGATAATAGTATAATGAGTCGAATGGAATAATTTATTAAATGATACAATATTTGAAGGCATACAGTATCGACGAATATGTCATCAACTGATTTTCGAATAGTATAGAGGTTATACAGGATGAATCAAAATTGGATGTACGAAGACAAGTTCTTTTCTTTCGCAAACACAAACTTTTCGTCCGCAAACAATTTTATTCCGATGCAGGGTTGCCAGTTCTACTGAATCAGTAGATCAAGATTTCCCAAACCGTTTCCGAGATATAGGCAGAAATTGACATTTGGCTGATTTCGAAAAATTGACATAACTTCTTTATTTTTGGATATTTCTCCAAACGGTGAAAACTTTCTGTAGACACTTTATGATGTAGAATAAGATGCATATGTCAAAAAAAATATATCGCTTATCAATTGTCTGATATCATAGCCAACTTCGTTATTTCAAATAGAAACCATAGTTGGCTTTGACTTCATAAAATCGAAAAAAAAGCTTTCCAAAAATATATATGTTAATATATTTCTAATCATCCTTGCTTATTCGTTGCCCATTCCAATCCAAATGTTGAAACCAAATCGTCCTTGCATGTTTCTAGGTTGGAAAACATGCTCATTATGGTCCGACCAATGATGCCGATTATGCCGATTGAATATTCCACTGCTGGTTACTCTTGCTTCATCGGTCCCAATAACATTTCGTAGGAAATTTTCAGTTTCATTGCATCTCCATATAAACCAGTTGCAGAAGTTGATTCTGCGTTCTTGATCACCGGGAAATAATTGATGTGTGAGCCTGACTTTATAAGGTTTAAATTCATGTCTCTTGAGAATCCTTTGGGTTCGGCTTCTGCTCACACCCCTAGTTACTTCTATTTCTCTGGTGAAAACTTCAGGATTCTCTTAAACCGCTCCAATTACTCCTGCCTCTACTTCGTCTCTACCTTCAACGGCATACTGTCTAGATCTGGGCTTGACGAATGATCATGATGCATCAGGCTAGTTTCCAATCTATCAAATATTTGGGCGCTAGGCTGCTGGCGTTCAGGGTATCGTTCGAAATATAAATTTCTTGCAGCTTCATTATTTCGGCCTTATTCAATAAAGCAAACAAACATCTGGCATTTTTCAAAGTTTTCAAACATTTTGATGCAAGCAGGTGACAGCTTTTAGATATTTCATTTATTGTCGAACTGACAGATAAGCAAAACAACTCTTGCTTTCCATGGCTCACTAAGTTGAGATGTCACCAAATTGTGATTTTCAAAGAGAAATACGTTATATCAACAGCAAGGATGACTAGAAATATATTAACATATATATTTTTGGAAAGCTTATATTTTTTTCCGATTTTATGAAGTCAAAGCCAACTATGGTTTCTATTTGAAATAACGAAGTTGGCTATGATATCAGACAATTGATAAGCGATATATTTTTTTTGACATATGCATCTTATTCTACATCATAAAGTGTCTATAGAAAGTTTTCACCGTTTGGAAAAATATCCAAAAATAAAGAAGTTATGTCAATTTTTCGAAATCAGTGAAATGTCAATTTCTGCTTGCATCTCGGAAACGGTTTGAGATTTCGAAATGCGGTTTTCACCAATCGACGTTTCACGAAAATCAAGCTCTAGAACTCTAGGTCAGTTTTTCTCTACCTGTTCTGGAAATAGGGAAAACTGCCAAAATCAAGCAATTTGGGACACCCTGTACATAGGAACTAATGATATGTATAAACCAAAAAAGGACAATCCTTTATCAGATTCAGATCAATTTCAATTTTTTATATACCTCTGGTATAACAATTTGTTACGTATACAGTATTTGCAGAATTCAGATGCGATAGCACCCAAGCCTCACAGCATTTTTCTTTGAGGATGAATCTGTTTGTGGGAATCAACTTCAGAATAGAAAACTGTCTTTCTATTATGATATTCACAACTTGTATATCTCGAGGAAGTGTCCAGTGAGTTTATGAGTTCTTTTTGGAAATCGCTTTTGTCAGTGATCTAGGTATCCGATATAAATGCCGGATCACTCAACTGACTATCGAAAAGGTTATATTATACTCGTCGACAAAGACAGTTGAGAAATCAATTATTGCATAAACGGTCACGAGATCTAACTATTGAATTATCTCAGTGAACCAGAGTAGATTTACCAAAATTTAGTTCATTATATTATTTGAAACGAACAAGTTTTAAATTTGTTCATGTTTATAACATAACAGGAGCACAAATCGTGATTATATACCTGTATATTTTGTTGATAGAAGCAGATTTGAAACCAACAGTCAAAAAGTTATTCGAATTCATCATTTTCATCATTAGTTTGTGTCAACTCACCCAATAATTATGTTCGTAATAGTATGCATAATATAAGTCCATGATTTTTCATTCTGAACTTTTTCAGTAGAGAAAAATATATACTTCTGCTACTTATCCATCATATTAACGAGTATAAACTGCCGCGAAACAGATTACGATTTCATCGATTTTCAAGTCCAGTACACAGTTTAGTTTCAACTTGACAATTATAATCTTATCTGCTTGATTCCACTCTCAGAAATATATGTATAGTGCTATTCTGAATGAAACATCCTAGTCTATATATATATAGGCACTTAAAAGTAGTTGCGCTCTTAGTAAGTACTTTAAATTCGAAATTTTCATGATTTTTAGGTGAAAATCATACCTGTTACTACTGCTCATGTGAAGCAGTATATGAAGAATGCGAATATCCCAATATATTTAATCTGAAAGATTATTATCATCGAATGATAATAGATTGTGTATTCAGTGACGTTTCCAATCTTCTCTTTAGCGGAAAGATTCTTCACTACTTCAAACGATTACCCGAAGTATTTTTCTGAGGGGACACAGATAAAAAAAGTAAACATACGAAAATTGAAGGGAAGTATGAAAATTAGGAGAGGAACTTGAGATGTCTTGGACGCAACATAATTTAAGTGAGTCGAAATATCTTTTGAACCATTCGAATGAATAGCAAAATAGTCACTATACAGGAATCCGGGAAAACTAAATTAGTGACTCCAAGGGGAACTAATTTATCCTTACGGCGATCCAAAATAGAAAAAATAGATTCAAGTTTCATTATTTTTACATTCGAAATAGCATCATAAGGGCCGCTCAAGAAGCGTATGCATCGAGTCATGATTTTTTTCTTGAGGAACTCCAGTTCCCTCGGGTATTGAGTCAGAAAATGGTATACACGTTTGGCAAGAATAGAATTCCTATAGAGAAAACGTGTGCTTGGCCAGCGACGTTGCCATACGCTTCGTATCGCACTACACTTTCTTCGTGCCAGACTCGAGTAGGAGGGGCAACGACGCCCATGAATCCTTCCTCTATCGAAAAATTATTCTTGCCAGACGAGTATAGAAGTCGGTGATTCGGTAAAAATTAAAACAACGTGTAGCATTCCCAACTTTTTTAAGGGGCAAAAAATAACAAAATTTCGGATTTTATTATTCGACACCTTCCGTGATGAAAACCTAGCGACCTAAGGGCGTACCAATTATTTACTGAGCAGGGCAAAACATAAAATAGCGACTTAAATGACGTACACATATCTTTTTTTTTTTTCGGTGGGGTTACAACCAGAAAATTAATCGAATGCGAAATCAAACCAAAATAGCTACTTCACATGCGTGGATGTGGTATTTTTTTTAAAGTTCAAAAATAAAAAGTGTGAGTTTCCGACTTTTGAAGAAACACCAGTTCAATGACTAAGAACTTGAATGATGAAAAATCACAAATTCTAAATTCTTCAGAATAGCGACTTCAGATCAAGAATAAATGAGATGAAATATTTTACATAATGGCGATTCCAGAGGCGTGCTAGTTCGTTATCCAAAGATGTCAAAAAGAAAAAAGTTTCAGTTTCTGAATGTCCTTGAAAGAAAATATATCCAGTGACTTGAGGATTGTACCCACCTTTTTTCTGAAGGGGTCAGAAATATAGAAAATCAGAAATTCCCAATTTCTCGGAATAGTGAATCCAGAGGCGTGATATTTATTTTCTGAAGGGGTCCTGATTAATAATATTAACCAACCAAGTTTTTTGATTTCTTCTAAAGGAATTATATTCTGTGATTTCAGGAGAATTATAAAATTTTCGAGATAGCGACTCCAGAGGCGTACCAAATTTTCTTCCGAAGAACCAAAATCTTAAAAAAAAACTGTTCTCTTCTCACCAACAAGAGTGTGACCAATATTTTTTTATGGTAGTCAAAAAAGAAGAGAATCGCAAATTTCGAATTAGTCGAAATAGCGACTTCATGGGCGTGTCATTCATTTCTGAAGGGGTCAAAAATAAGAAAGGATCAGTTTTCTTCATATCCTCGTGATAAAATATTTTTAATGATGTGAGAGGCGTACCCAATATACTTCAAAGTGGGTCGAAAATGAAAAAATCACGAATATAAAAATTGTTGAAAATGTTTGTCACAAAATCATAAAAATTTCAAATTATTACTGAGAGGCGTACCCATCTTTGTTCATAAAGGGTCAATAATGAAAGAATTACGAATTTCAAAGTAATCAAAATGGTGAATACCAAATTTCTTTACTAAGGGGATCATATATAAAATAATAGGGAATTCTGAAAAGCTCAACATAGCAAAAATAAAGAGACAGAGAAACAAAAAATATATTTAATGATGTGAAGGGCGTACCCAATTCAATTCTAAGGAAGTCAAAAATGCCAAAAAAATCACTACAAAACATCGACTCCTGATGGTCTCAAAATTGCGACTCGAGGCATGTTATTTTTTCTGAAAGGGCCAAAAATTCAATGGACCAAGATGAAAATACAATGATTACTAGAGGCGTACCCTTTCTTTTCTGAGGGGGCAGATTACGAATTCAAATCAAATTCGAATGTCAGAGGCGCACTCAATTTATTTTCATACAGGGTCAAGAATGAAAGAATCACGAATTTCAAAATTATTAAAATGGTGAATACAGAGGCGAACCAATTTCTCTGAGGGGATTAGAAATGAAAGGAATTCGAATTAAAAAAAGTCAAAATACTCCAGAGGCGTACCCAATGTTAATATAAGTGTGAAAAGAATTGAGAAATATTTCGAAATGGTTCAAATAGCGACTTCAGAGGCGATCCCATTTCATTTCAAAGGGGGTGAAGAAATTGAATAATCACAAATTTCAAAATTGTCAAAACAGCGAATCCAGAGGCGTACAAATATTTTTTCTAACGGGGTGAATATGAAAAATATCACAAATTCGTGGAATTTCATAATAGTCACTCCATAGGCGTACCCAATTCTTTTCTACAGGGGTCAAAAATAAAAAAATCACAAATTCCAAAATTGTCAAAACAGCGAATCCAGAGGCGTACACATATATTTCAAAATCGTCAAATCAACGGATCCAGAGGGGTACAAATATTTTTTCTAACGGGATGAATATGAAAAATATCACAAATTTGTGGAATTTCAAAAAAGTCACTCCAGAGGCGTACTCAACTCTTTTCTACAGTAGTCAAAAATAAAAAATCACAAATTCCAAAATTGTCAAAACAAGGAAATCCAGAGGCGTACACATATATTTCAAAATCGTCTAAACGACGGATCCAGAGGCGTACAAATATTTTTTCTAACGGGGTGAAAATAAAAAAAGTCACAATTTCGTGAAAATTCAAAATAGTCACTCCTGGGGCGTACCCAATTCTTTTCTACAGGGGTCAAAAATAAAAGATCACAAATTCCAAAATTGTCAAAACAGCGAATCCAGAGGCGTACACATATTTTTTGTAACAGAGTGAAAATGAAAAAATCACAAATTCGTGGAATTTCAAAATAGTCACTCCAGAGGCGTACGCGATTTTTTCTACAGGGGTCAGAAAAAAATTCAAAATTGTCCGAATATCGACTCCATAGGCGTACCCAATATTTTTTTCGAGGGGATGGAAAATTCAAAAAAAAAATCTCGTTTTCTACTCACCAACTCCGCTTCCGTGCTTGCCGCCACCTGCACCTGCAACGTCTTCACCCAATCGGCGAACTCCTCGGTCGTCTCGGCCTGCAGCAGGAACTCGGACCTGCAAGGCTTCACGGCTGACACGCGCAGCACGTTCTTCCGCTTGGTGTAGTCCTCGGCGACGCGAACGACGCTCGTGCGCATATCGACGCCGCCTGCGAGCGACTGGTCGAGGGCGTCGGAAGTGCCGATCGGACTCTACAAAAAAAATACGATTCAAAAACAAGGAAATGAAGAAATCTGTTATTCCAGATTTTTTGGGATTTTCTCTCCTCGCTTCTATAAAATGATTGTTATTTTTTCTGTGACGGGAAAAAAGTTTGGCATTTCATCTCTTTTGGCAGGTTATAAAATGTGACCTTTCATAAATTACTTTTTTCCCGAGGAAAAAAAGTGAGTACTTTATTCCCGGATATATATCACATATACGTATGATGCAAATGTATGGAATAAATTCATTTCAAAACAAGACGACTTCCGAAAAAAATCCAAAAACTAGAGTTCAGAACTTTTTTTATTGTGTATTTTTTCAACTAGACGACCCTTCGATGTTCAATTCTCAGTAGCAGACCTCTGCAAGGTTCAGTTAACCAAATGATAATCCATTTTAATTGCAATATTCTTATGCAAAATTTTGACTGTTGGATAGACGATCAGTAGACATTTCAAACGAGGTGTCACATGACCCCTGCTTGTATTTGAAAAAATCGTCCATTACTTCATTACTTCTACACCAGTGACGTTACATCTCTCATATGAATGTCATGGGATGAGGCTTCAAAAATTAAAACTCACGTGTTTTTGGAATTTCTTCAAATGTCGCCCATTTCTGAAATAATGAATTTATTCCATACATTTGCATCATACTGTACTATATGCACTGTTGATGGCTTTTGTTGTGCTATAGTTCCCAAAAATGAGTCAATTAATAATACCGTCTCCGAGAAAGAACTGCAAGTCCTTTTATCTTCCATTCGACTTCGCGGTTACTTATATCACTAAACAACCACTGAATTCGCAATTTTTTGAAATCAAATTACAGAATTAGACTTTCAGAAGTAACATCAGATATTTGATTACTTCAAAAGAATGATAAAGATTCCTACAACGCAGGTGTCCCTACTGTTGAAAACTTGAAATTTCACGTCGATAATTTTCAGATTTCCAAATAATGTAATATCTTCTCGAGTATCTTCTCAATCTTAATTCGTCCTTTATTTTGTCACAGACGCTACGCGTCGGGAGACAACAAAACCTGGAGCTAAAATCTACTATTTTTTCCCTTAATAAATAACTATTTTCGAAATCATTAAGCAAGCGCGCTGCCGCAAAATTTACGACAAACACACCTAATACCGAAAAGGAATATTCTCAGATATAATTATGAACATAAAAAATGGATATATTTATGAAGAAATACATTGAGAATTCGCATTCTCCATGTGATGAAAATATCAATTCTTTCTTGGTCTATTCAACAGAAAACAACTACTTTCCTGGCTATATGCCACGACGATCTTTGAATTATATCTATTGAACACACACGATAAGAATTTGAAAACAAATTCTTCTGAAGTAGAGAATTTGCATTCTCCTTCATATAAAGATATTGTTAGATATTTTGAAAATGTATTTTAATTGTTAATTATTTTGTACTGTCTTAAATTTATATCCAACTGTAGATTACTCATTGCTTGAAATTCAACTTGTTTTGTCTGATAAGAAACGTGTATTGTCGAATTACGTATGAGCACAACCGCTACCGGTCGATTCATCGAAAGGCATTCGAGTTTTGGATGAAGTCGCTCGGAATATTTGCCGTTCTGCTTTTGTTCAATATTAACATTATAGTTTTGAGAAATAAATTCGGTATATTGTGTTTGTGTGTGTGATAGCTATCCGTTCCCAAAAATCTAACAATATGTAAATAATAGCATTCTGAAATATTCAACAGAAAACAACACTCCTACTTTCCTGGCTATCTGCCACGTCGAACATTGAATGATATCTGTTGAATATCCAAAAAGAGAGCATGAAAAATGAAAATCATCTTAAATTCAGAATTGAAATTATTTCTCAAATCGGATGAAATAACATGATGTATATTGATGTATATGATGTATAAAAATATGATATAATATATCATGATACATCATGTCATTTCATACGATTTGAGAAATAATGTCAATTCTTTTATATCATAATACATCATGTTATTTCATCCGATTTGAGAAATAATTCCAATTCTGAATTTCAGAGGATTCTCATTTTTCATGCTCTCTTTTTGGATACTCAACAGATACAATTCAATGTTCATCGTGGCATCGATGCCACGGCTCATGATGCTGCAAACTTAATTCTCATGGGAAATGACCAATCATTTCGTGCCTTTCAAACAATATAATATGATTTTCGGTGACAGGAAAAAAAGTTTGGCATTTCATCTCTGATGACAGGTTATAAAATGTCACTTTTCATGAATTACTTTTTTCCATTCCACACATAAGTGAACAACTACTAAGTTCGCAATTTTTCGAAATTAAATCACAGAACTAGACTGACAGATATTTGATTACTTTAAGAAAATTATAAAGATGCCTGCAAAAAGATATGCATGCAACGCAGGTGTAATTCCCGTTCAAAAACTTCAAGATTCGCGTCGATAATAATCTGATTTTAATATAATGCCCGTCCTTTCTCCTGCCACAGAATAAAATAGTGTATTATACACGGGAAATATATAGGATTTTAGCTTTTCTTTGTCTCCCTCTACTGCTTTTTTCCCTTGAATAATAAATAACTAATTTTATTGTTTGTTACATCTAGAAGCAGTTATTGCATACTATGTACAAAGTGTTTAGAATCATTACATCAATAGGAATATATGAAAATTAATATTGAATCTCGATGAAACACAATGCTATACCGGACGAAATCATTAGGCAGTAGTGCATTTTAATTGTGGAACATGTAGGTTTTTCAATAATTGATTTCAAGGCTGTTTCAAGGAAGTCTTCGCAAATATTGCATTATCACAAAGATTGCACATTCTTTGTAACAGCTGAATCTCAAAAGTGCCCACTCGAAAGCGCATCGACTACAGTAAGTAGGTGAATGGTATTCTTCATTGTGAATAAATTTATATTCAATTCTGAATTATATTGAAGTCGTGTCTAATAAAAGTCATGATACTTCTAGTAAATAAAGCGGCAACTTTTATGACCAGGTTAATGCGGATTTATGCACACCGATTTTTCAATAATCTGTAATTTCACAATCATTAACGATTCCACTAAGTCAAGATTTGGTATTCCCGTTCATTCATTTATGCACCTAAATTGAATTTTATCTTTCATTAACTATTGGCTAAAAGATGACCAACTTTCATAAAACTGTGATTTGCGATGGCGCGATTCTGTCTTAAGTCTTTCTTTTTTCCAGAATGTGGTTGAAAATTCAGAAAATTCAAGTCGTATGTTCAAATTAGACTCTGAAAACAATAGGAATGAATGGTTTTTATTGTAATTATGTGATCACTGAATGTTATAACACAAATCGAAAGAAGAAGAGATTAAAATTAAAAAAAAGGGTGCATAAAAGTATCATAGTCCTCAAATGCAAAATGGACTTCAATGACAGGTAATGGAAGCAACAGATGAAAAAGCGGTGAGCATAAATCCACCTTTATATGACGATATATCGGCACTGAACTGTGTGAGGTTTAACGTTTCAGTTTAAAAAGGTCAAGAAATACTAAATTAATGTGACTGAAAAACTGTAAAAATGTTTGAGTTATTTTCAATACGAAGTCCACGAAAATTTTTATCAATTAAGGTCCACACCAATTTATAACCATCCTTTGACTGACACAAAATGTCTCAGAAGTTCGAAGGTGTTCGAGATGTCGTACACATTTTTGAGTACATTTCAACTAAATTTTAGTTCTTAATAATAATAATAATAATAAATTTACCAAAAAAATAATGTGTGTAAATAATTTGTGTCAAATCATCAATTCTCTTCGGGAACAGCTTTCACGCAATATTTCGAAATTATCACATTATTTTATGCATTTGTGTGTCAAATAATTGGGTGAGTATATTGATATAGTAAAATTATCTGTGGATTTAGTTATGTAAAAACATTGGATTCTAGTGAAAAACGTATAAATTCCAGTGATGTGAATATTATCTGTGACAAACATCCCATTTCTAAAAAATGATAACCAAACCGTTTTCAGATTTATGCTCATGAATTCATTCCTATGTTTTTCATATTATGTCAAACCGTATGCCATTATATTCATGTGCTCGCGGAAGTACTGGGCGAAATACGAAATTTATTCATTAGTTTTTTTTCCTGTTTCATCAAATCGAGCAATATCATTCGTGAATTCGCTTAGTAACATTCTATTTCGCCTAATTTCTGAATCCTTTTCATGCAAAAGGTCACCTTTTCGAAAAAACATCTAGCAGGTACAAAGAATGTACCAAGTCTGTAAACCGAAGAGAAGTAGTGTTCAGTGCAAAATATGTCAAATTGTCTTGTGTACACAATAAAACAACGCTTCGAGCTAAATTTGCAGAGCATGTTTTTAGAGTTAAAATACTCTGGCAAACTCACTCTGATACTGCAATCAACTCTATAACTACACTTCTCGCAGATCATCTCTATTGAAGAAAATTCTAGATTGAATTTTCACTAATGCCGTATTGAATTCACTCTATATTCCTAAAATTTCAATAAAATAGCAATTCAGATACTCAATTCACTAACAATTGGAATTATTCATACTAGTGTTAACTCACACTAGTGCACTTGAATCTCCCACTCTATCATTGTTCAATTCAATCTATATACGATGAAATATCAATCTATACAGTTTCAGATATAGTTCAGTCTACTGGATAGTGAAATAAGTAATATACTGATTATATAGTGTCGATGATATATAATGATCATGATATCAGCTTCAAGTAGCTTTTTTACTATACCCACGTAGTGAAAGATTTTTTTCAACATTGAGTTATCAACGTATTTCCGTATACATATCTGTTATTTTCCGTTTTTTCCGTTTCGAATTATTATTTCGAACGATTCATGAAACATATAGGTTAACTAATTAGTCTAGTGGGACGCGAGTCATTTTTCAAATATCAAACGATCAAAATATTATAAAGTCACACTACTTCTCATCC